GGGGGGAGAGGGAGAGAGAGAGGGAGAGAGAGAAAGAAAGAGAGAGAGAGACAGAGAGAGATTGCTTACTTGAACGTGCACGTGCATACGCATTCGTATGAATGTGTAGTATAATCATGTATGGGTATGGGGGTGTTTATGTGTATATGTACTGGTGTGAGTGTGGGGTATGTGTGCATATTATGCGTGTGAGTTTGTGCACGTGCAAATATGTACAAATAGGAATATGTATTTGTGTGTACATGTAAAACTGTGTGGGTGCGTATGTTTGTATAATGGCGTCAGTGGCCTAGACTAAGTGGTTACGCTACCGCACCTGTAATCATTAGATTGTGGGTTCGGGGGTTCGAACCTCAGCCCGGTCTGACCTTGTGTCCTTGGGAAAGACACTTTACACGAATTTCCTATTTGGCTTGGCTTTTTCGGAGATGGACGTTAAACTCGGAGGTCCCGCTTTTTAAATAACCTTATAGTGTTGATAGGGGCGTAAAATCTATACCATTTCACAATTTTTGTGTGTTTATATATTACGAGTGTGAGAGTCTGTATGTGAGATAATTTTGAGAGTGAGTGTGTGTATAAATATATGTGTACGCGTCTTATTTGTGTGTGTATGTCCAGGCTAGGGGACTCTCTTGTATACATGCACTAGTTAATGCCCTATCAGAAAACACACCAAAATTCATAATAATATTATGTACATACATATAGATATACATTTACAGATAAACCAACAAAATATTCTAACAAAACATATTTTTGTTGTGCACACACTTTAGCACAAACACGCACACACTAATATGTTGGCATTTTCAAATTGCTTTAACATAGAAACACGGAGTTCCCAGCGAGAAAATGAATAAACATGAGTACAGAGGTGACTCAAGAGAACGTAGATCTATGCGTCACCAAAACCGCAGAATGTGAATACCAGAAAATTTTTGCTGGGGCGAAGAGTTCTAGTCGAGTGTTTGAAACCTAATACTTTGGCTGCGATTTGAGTAACCTGCATATTATTGCTCTTTAAAGTGTATTCACATCAGAGAATTACTTGACATAATTTGGCGTGTGTCACACGACTCAGTTTGTGCGGTTTATTGTAAATCCGGATACAGATAATAATTTTTTTTTGTTCATCTTTCTCAAGGTGTCCACATTTCTACATTTTTGAAGTCATGTCCCGTAAAAAAATATACCTTCAATATGTGGGGCCATGAGACAGTAAGACTTTTTTTTAGGTACACGATGGGTGGTAACCATGCTTAGAGTAAAACAAGCTCGCCATATGAGTCAGGCGTTTTCAAAGGAAAAACAAGTTAAAAATAACGATAGAAATGTTCATGAAACTTGTAGCAAAGGTAAGTCCAAGAAAGGATCCCCCCCCCCCCCACCACCCCAAAAAACAAGAAAAAACAAAACACCAACCCAAACAAACAACAACCGAAGGAACGTCGGACAGACAGCTTGATGGAGTATAAGTGTATGGTTTTAACGCTCCTCTATACACTATTAGTTTATTTAAGAGGCAGAACCTCCAAAACTAACGTCCGTCCCCGATAGTAACAAGCCAAATGGGCGATGAACCTTGAAAATTCCACAAAACGACCCCAGACCAAAGACATCCAATCTGAGATTTGAACCACGGTCATCCACTCCATAGTCCAGCATTATACCGACTGAGCTTTGGAAGCGCCCCAAATTTGATGGTAAAGTTCAACGTTGAAGGTGTTTTATATAGTCTTGTACCTCTTTCGATCGAAATCACACACGATCAATGGCCCATACGACTTTTTAACAACTCACCTGGCTGGCATTGAGCCATCATGGTTCCCAGATGAACTACCATCATGGTAGCCACCACACGTCCATCTGTTTTGATTTATTTTCAAACACTCATTTGCAGCCAGATAAGGCGAGGAAAAAACGACACGTATTTCAGATGTATGAGAAACATCACGTCATGTCTAAGGGCATCTGTTATCAAATTATTCAGATTTCGTCTACAATAGCAGTCGATCAATGTCTTCGTTGACCATTAGTAACTTTTCCAAAGTTATAGGCGTGGCCTGTGTACAACACCTGGCAAAAAAAGCTGCTATCCACTTCTACATGCAGTTAGTATAGAAATCGCACCGGGTAGAGTAAGAAAAATCCATAGCAAAAGCGCAAACCAAGGAATGTCTTTAATATGTTGCAAGCCCATTGTCGCAAAGGGCATCCCTTGAATAGAGAACACTCTATAATTGAACCAGATTCAAGGAAAGTGGATCCATTGTATTCACGTTGGAATATTTGCTGACCGTACCGGTTGAAGAACAATGGAAACTTGGCTTTCAAGGCTAGCATACGTCACTGAGTAGTAGCATACGTCACTGAGTAGTCAAACTATTTTACACCCCAACTGCCCTTATTTTCTCACTGTTTTCTTTGCTTAAAGTCCAAAGTTACAACAATGTTGTTTCGATATGCCCTTCTCTTTAAACACAAACCTTGTCTAGTTTAGAAAACAATGCCCTTATGGTTAGAACGCACAACTGGTAGGTCCTACTTCTGTTCTTTCCCTGTGCTGGATCTGTTTATAAGTGTTTCTTTCTCCCAGAACAAAATTTAATGGCCAATATCGTGTCAATGTTATTGAAACTTATCTGTCCTTGTTGGCCCGAAAGTTTACTGCTTCGCTTACGAGCGCTGATAAAATTATTAAACAGCTTCAAGTGACCCAGAGGAGAATAAAATTACGACTTGTTTGTGGACCTGCTGGCTTTTCGTTGACGGCGACGATACTTGCGTCTGTTCTGATCACTTTGTGCGTTGTTTTTACGACGTCGTTTGGAGTTGTTGCCCTTCTTTTTTCTCCGGCGCTCAGCTTTTGGTTTTTTAGAACCTGCTGAAGATCTTCTCGAGTTTGATCTAGAAGAAGCGGCAGCAATAGATGAACCGGAAGATCCCTTTCTGCTTCCGCCGACACGACGTGACGTCACAGAGGGTGGCACCGATCCTCGTGGGCGGTTTCGCCTGGTAGGTTTAGCAGAAGTGGAAGCGGAGGATGAAGGGCTGATATTCCTGCGAGTGTGTGTCGCTCTTGAAGTTGCTGCCCCAAAGGAAGCTGTGGATGACGAGGATGACGACTGCTTGCGGCCGCTGTATGTTCGAACTCGCTTTTGACTCGCACCGTTTGTCCCTGTGTCCTCCGCTTTGGATCCTCGACAGATACTGATGTCACAGTAGCCCCACTCCTCTCGGCGTTTGGTAGTGTAGCACCAGGGCCGGTTGCGTCTCATGCCTGAAGGGTTGCGGCACTTGTTGTGGTCACCCAGGCCGTCCCTAGAGAAACACAATGAGATTTTTAGACCTTGAAAAATATCAATTTAAACAGTTTGTTCCCACCATTGCGAGAAGGTAGGGAATTCAAGGGAGAGGACACAAGGGTTGAGCGAACAAAGAGAGCGCAACAGAAATACCGAATCTAGACGGAGTGTCCTTGGACACAGCTACTTTTTGTGCTTTTGCTCAACTTAAAAAAATGCTTTAAGAGGGATCCACACAAGCGCAAAACCGTATTTTTAAATGGGTATGAAAGTTGTTCATGGGCGAAAATATATTTTTAAAATACCCAACAGGCGGACAATGCCGGCTTCTTCGATTTCATTATTTTGACGAACACTTGGTTTCACCACAATGCTACACATTCATACCTCTTTCTTTTATTCGAAAAAAATACTCCAGCTACTGGAGCTAGAAAATATTATGCAGCCTCAATGAAAAACACAAGTAAAATACAAATAATAATATTTTCTGTACTTTCTAATTAAATATTTTTTATACAACTAGAAATGTATGCATTTGTGTTTTCTTTCAGTACGGCTAAACAGAAAAAAATCAGCTTTTAACTCACATGTTGTTGTTTGATTGTTGTTTAGCATTTTTGTTGACTTGAGAAATAACAAGTTAATCGTTGTATTTGCAACCTCTAAAACAACACAGTACAGTGCTACAGTGAAGTATCCAGTGGATATGCTTCTTGCGGCCTTTTTAGGCTTTATATACAACTTTTTAGCGATTTCCTTCAATATCTCTAAAAAGACAAAAAGAATACCGACGTCTATGGTGTAGCAGTTAAGCGTTTTGCTGTTTCACATAGACTCGATTCCCGAGTGGGGAAAGTTTTTATCAAGTATTCTCATCTTTCTACAGGAATGTTGCACCTCTCTAATCCCGGGTTGGCGCTGACAGGCAGGGTTCAAATCCCACCTCCTAAATCATCTTACTTGTGTAGACGAGGACGTAAAATGCTCACATAAAAAAAAGAAGTTAAAAAAATATCTGCATTAATATTTTATAATAGCATCTTTGGTCTAGATCTAGCTTACTCACCTGTCCTCTTTCGAGTCTGACCGGCCAGCCCTTTTGCTGACTTCCACCAGACTGTGATTATGTGGATAGTTTTCTGTCCACTTCTGGCACGTGTATCCGTCCCTTGTGTGGTCAAGATTTCCTCGATAGTTTCTGCCGTCTTCGAAATCGTCTTGAATACATTTCCCTGGGAAAATAGTTAGATTGATAACCAATGATTTGATTGCAATGGTCGTTAAGATAAAGAGGAAAGGGGGAGAAGGGAAAGGAAAAGAACGTAAATTGAGAGTAGAATGCTGGAAATGAAGAAAAAGAGAAAAAAAGGGAAAGACAAAAACGAAACGGAAACGTGTCTGTCAGTTTACTAAACCTATGATTGATCACCTGGCCACTTTGAATGAATGGACTTACCGCAACAGTCACAATTTAGACCATTAAAATTTAGGATCGGCCTCTTCTACTCTATCTATGAGAGAGAACTCCTGCTGAGGGACATACAACAAACCGCTACCTCAGAATTACAAAGTTCTATCTGCTCAGTACCTAGTTTGGAAGAACTTGAAGTTAAAAATGTTGAGTTTAACAACATGTCAAGCTTTTTCAAATAAAATTATTTGAATACCTTGATACAACTCCGAACAGTCTTACAATTTTTATAGAGCAGATAGAACATTGATTGATTTCTGACCTCCTGGTTTAGTAAACCAAAACGGCCAAAAATGTCAGACAGAACTTTGTAATTCTACAGTAGCGATACACCATCACAATAGACAGACGGAGATCGTTAAGAAACAAATTTCAGCAGCGATACCGATGGAGGAATAGACAGGTTTATAGATAAACGTGTCTGTGGTGAAATAGTTCAGCTTTTTGCCGTTGCACGCAGAATACGTGAGTTCGATTCCCGCGTACGGACAATAATTGGTTTGCTGTATCTTACCCAGCCTGGTTTTCCCTGGCAAACAGTGTGGTGCAGCTTTCTGTTAAATATCTCAGTCATATATGTTGCTAAGGGTGTTAACTAGTTGCTTGTTCAGATCGATAGTGGTATAGACAGAAAAAATGAGAAAAATGCAAGGGAATTAGCGTGGAAAAGAGTTAATAAAGGAATGGAGCGGACAAGCAAATAGAAAGACAACGAAATTTCGTATAGAATGTGTTTGCTTTAGATTTCTGGGTTTATTTTCACCTATGCCTTGTGATTTATTAATTAATTTGTTAAAATTATGATTGTTATAGAAGTTTGATCTTTCTTTTATCTTGTTTTTCAGCATATTTCTTTTCGTTCTTATTTCTTATATAAAACAATGCAGGGGTCCAGGGTTGATCATAAAAGCAGAGGAATTATGTCATAATAATGCCCTATTTTTATAATCTCTTTTAATTATCATAGACATTAGACACGGTTTTCGTTTTGTTCAAAGTGACAATTCTTTTTAGCTCAATATCTCTTTTCATCTTTAAGGTTTAAATAAATGAAGAAAAGAAACCAGGTAAACTGAAATGACATCAAACCAGCAGACGTACAATTAAGCCGAGAGGAGGACAAAAAAAGGGTTTTACTGCCTCTCAAACCGCCCGACAAAAAAGTTACGCATACTTAAAAATCCCAGCACGCCAAAGCAGTTCAAGAACACAGGAGCGGTTATAAAGATTTTAGGAGCTGATTAATTCTGCTTCTCCCTTTACCCGAGGTTATGTTCTTCTGTTTTCACTGGCACACCGAGTTTGGAAAAGGGATGTAACTGTCCATTAACGAAGAATCACGGTTATTGTTGATGACTCAGCAAACGTTTGATAATACGTTGCAAATTTAGAGAAGGAAAAAAAAGTGAAGCAGAACCAAACTGCAATGTGGCTTTCAGATGTGTACAGATTTTCAGATGCTATGATTAATTTAATCTAAGATCGAAGAGTTACCTCTAAAGTAAATGTTCTAGAACTAAGATAGCAGGATGAGGGTTCAAACTCTCCATTCATCCTTCCCGACACAAGGTAAAAGCACAAACTTATATCTCAGCAAATTCTGACAATAATCTTGGACGAAGTAGTCGTTGTGCTCAAAAATTGGAGACAATCTGCTGAAACTACTGGTTAGGTGTATGCACTGATTTTGTTGTTTCTATTGTTCTGGGGGACAGCCATATCCACACTATGGCATGTCGTTAACTCAGTTGGTATCATGCTAGACACCACGAAGATGACACTGGTTCGAATCCCCAACGGGGCGCCCATTATCCTAGTGGATAGAGATGTCAGATTTGGAGGTCATGCCTCTTAAACATCTTTACAGAATTGAAAGTGGCGTTAATCCAATAAAATTGTGTACTTTTTCACACCCCAAAGTCTTGTTCAAGAATGTTTCAATCAGATGGCACATAGTGCATGATTGAGCAATATGAAATATTCATTTTAACGGATCCCCAAGGTCGCAGGATCCCCTCTGTTAAACCCTAATATTTCAGAGGACACCCCTTGTTGAAAGGGTTTTGAAAGGTGAGACTGAGGCTCAAAACCCTCAATGACAATAGTCACCGACCAAGAAAAAGCGAAGAAGTAAACAAACTAACAAACAGATAAACAAACACAAAAAAGTGAGGGGGAAAGTTTCAAAAAGCTTACTTCTGGCGTTTTACTCACAGATGCAAGCGTGAAAAAGACAATTAGATTAAACAAGAGCTTCAGCGACAAAAATCCACCCAACACCCCCCCCCCAAAAAAAAAGAAACAAGACAAAAGAAACAAGACAAAAGCTTATTTCTGGCATTCTTCTCACAT